TTATTATCATACTCAAACTGTAAAGCATCGAAGCTTTAGAGGATATTCTATCCTAATCATTTATTCATTGATTGATTGATTCTTCACTTAGGCACTCATTGGTAGAATACTTAAGGGCTTACTAACATTTATGAGTTATCAAGGATGTTCACTCAGTTCAAATTACTGTGGTTCTTCTCATATAAAGACATATGTGAATACCATGTGAGCTCCACATGAACATCCTTCAAAGTCCTCCTCTGAAGATATCCATGGGGCATTTCTGCCACAGCTGTTCCCTCTGCCTGCAGCATCCTCCCCACTCCTCTATGCTGGAAGAGTCAGACATGCTTCCCATGTCACCTCTTCCAAAAGCTTCTGTCACTAATCCCCGTGCAAAGTGCCTCACACCTATTCTGCTTTCCACAGAACACTAAATCATAGGGATGGCGGCTCTCTCACCTTCTCCCCCCCCCACCCCATGTACACTTCGTTGTCAAATTCTTGAAGCATCCTTATTCATCTTCCCGTCTTAGCAGCTAGCACCATGGCTGACATAAGAGGTACTCAATAAATGTCTTTGAATGGCTGTCCTGTAATAAATGAACCTGAGAGGAACTGTCTGTGATCAATTTAACATTCAAGTGCTAATAGCCAGTTGGGGGCTCTGGCTACCCAGCTCTTCTTTTTCTCCTCTAAACACGCCAAGCGAATTGTCACCTTCAAGTCACTGAGATGCTCCTTGTGCCCCAACTGTCCCCACACTTCACTGTAGACCTTTCCTTTCCCCTTCTCTTAGGTCTCGCTTCAGGCTCAGCTCCTCCAGATGAGCCGAAATCTCATAACGTTCATCTTGCTCACCATGTCCCATGCTGGGGTTGATCTCCTTCACTGCCCAATTTGTAGAATACCTGGCACCACATCCGGCATCTAGTAAGTGCTCAATTCATCTACGCTGTTGCAGGAGAGAATGAATGGAAGAGGCATTCGGCGGCTCCTGGGTTGCATGCGGCTTGTAAGTGAGTTCCGTTTAGCCTGCTCAACATTGTTACAAACCTTAAATGAGCTGCCAACTTTGAAAGGTGAGGGAATTTCACCTTCTGAAGAAGTTCAAGATCAGGCTTCTTTTGAAATACTGGAATGAGTGGAAATCCAGGGCCTGCGATCCCAACTGACAATGCATGGGTGTGGGTGATAACTGCCTGCTTGAGAAGAGAACCCCCAGATTGATGTGGCCCCACTTCCTCCAAGTCTCACAGGCCTAGGGCACCTCTGAAGAAGGCTGGACTTCAGCCCTGATGTCCTAAAGCTTCTGCTATGACCTACCCTTGTATCATTCCTGCAAACCCTACACACATTTGTGGCAGTTACACACAAATGTTGAATATGTCTTCAGAGATGAATTAACATCAGAACATTTTCTTAGAATTTCTTATTAACAACGCTGAAGAACTACAATGATCACATGCTAAAACTGAATTCATTATATACAAGAAGACAATCTAGGTGCATGTTTAACAGATCTTAAGTTGCTGAAAAAAAAATCACTAAAACAAAGAGCCCAACAAATCAGGAAGGAGTTATAACTAATATGATTGACTAAAGGTTATATCCATAATTAAAACTCAGGCTGGCAAGATAGCTCAGAGGACTAAGTGCCTGCTTTGACAATTGCAGGGACCAGGGTTCAATCCCTAGTCCTCCATGCTGCGCTGGCCCTGCCCCTGGGGGTGTGCTGAACCAGGCAATGAGTCCAGGCGTGGTGGTGCACGCCTGAAATCCCAGTGCTGGGAAGGCTGAAAATAGGAGGATCACGACAAGTCTGAGCTGTGTAGTGAGACCCTGTACCAAATACACGAATAAAAAACAAAACAAAACAAAACAAAACAAAACTCAATGAGAACAAAGCAAGCCTCAATAAAGAAGGAATAAATATATTTTTAAGTAATTCACAAAAGAGTTACAAATAACTAAGGAACATATTCAAAGTCTATTTGAGTAGTACTCGAAAAGATATGAATCAAACCAAGATCTCATTCATTTATCATACATTAAGTTTTTCAAAAATATTTGTTAAATGACCACCACATCCCAAATAAAGTCAGTTTGGCTAAGTTTTAAAAATACCAATAATCTTCAGATTCAGTAAGATAAATACCATCATATACAATAGAAAATAATTTCAGCATAAGCATAAAAACCATAAAATAGTTTCTGCCCTGTGACCCAGTAATTAAACTTCTTGAAACTTATCCTAGGAAAATAATCAGTGTGGGAGACAAAGATTAATGTATGGGGATGTTAATCATTGCATAATTTATTCTATCAAATACAATTGAAACCTAAAAGTCTAACGATAAGGAACGATTAAGTGAATTATGGAACAGTCATATGGTGCACAATTAAACAGACATCAAAATCATGTTTTTCAAAGACCCTTTATTGAGCTGGGAAAATGCTCATGAAAAAGTTTAAAGCCTATATTTTGAAATAAACTTCAAATCACTAACTGAAGTGATCTACTATCTCTTGCTTTATGATATAGGAATCATTTCTGCTTTCCACAGGCTTACGATCTCCTACTGATCTCAGGCTTGCGAGACCTACAATATAGCTCCACACACTTCTTCCTTCTGACAGGCTTTAAACAAAGAGTTTTTAAGGAAATTCTCCGCAGGACACCACAGTATTAGACCTTAAGAATTTCCCTTTTTCATGTATTTATAGTAGTATGTAGATCAGACAAGACATTTACAAGAAGCATTATTTCTTTCTTGTAACACCAACCACAGGAAGGGCCAGAAGGCATGGTATCGTAGAAAAAGCAGAACCATCTCCCTGCCACGAAAAGCACAACAAAAATTGAAAGTCTGTGTGCACCAAAATAAACTGTCTGTACAAAAGATGATTATAGTAAAACAAAGAGGAAGCTGCATCTTGGTTTTGCAATTACTTAACTGTGCAAAGGCAGGAGCTAGTCTGCTCAGTCACCTGCCTGCAGGAACCCCAAGGACAGCATCCACAAGGACAGCATCCACAAGGACAGCATCCACAAAGACAGCAGCGTGGCCCGCATTCGCCCAGCCCCCACAGCACAGCTTCAAGCCACTTCTGCAGCCATGCTGATCCCTTCCACTCACCCGTACCTGGACCGCGGTGCAGAAGCCACGCGGACATCGGGCTCCTCAGGGACTCAGCAACCACAGTTGGCCTCCCAAGAAACCAAACGCAACGTCCACAGCTGAGAAAGCCACAGGAGCCACAGAGCAAGTAGCACTAGGGGCTCTTGTGTGAGTGAAAGCTGATCATTTTCTTTAAAAAAAAAAAAAAAACTGGTAGCAGGAGTCACCTTCTAAAGAATGCAGTCACTAGGTGACAAGGCAACAATTTCTTATGTCATTAGAGTAAAATAAGAAGAGACTGCTCACAGCTACTCTTCCAGTTTATCGCTATTTCCTCGTGGAGTTCTCAAAGGGACCCACGTGGACTCAATTTGGTTGGAAATTATAATTTAGGCCCGTGGCTTGTGGCAGTCAGCAATTCAGAAGCCCCCTCTTTCTTTAGCCTGCTGCGCTCTCTCTCCTTGAAGCCTCTCTTGGCTTGTGTATCTTGGTTGCTTTACAAACTACTGCTTTTCCAACCTTTAGCTTGGGGGAAGTTAAGAACAATCTCCACATCTGCCTCCACACCATTTTCACACACGAGCTTTCCTCCCTTTCAGTAGGTTGTTTTAAAGCAGCTTGTTGCTGTCTTACACTTTGAATTTCGCTCGTTGGGTAATTCCACGGACACCTTTGAAGAGTATATCCATTTTCCTCTTTGAGCACTTTCATAAGCGCAAATCCATCAAAAGCATTGATCTTTACATTATCATCAATTTTCCTTTCTTTCATATGTGTACGGCTGCTTTCCTTTGGTATCATCTTTTAGTACACGAGCCGCTTTACACTCTTTAGCCCCCTTCTCCATCTCTCTCAACATTTGACTTAGGCTTCTGCACAAACTTATATTCTCTACTTTCAATCTACTAAAATGCATCTGATTCCACCTCCTTCCAGTCCATATAGGTGTCATGATAATTTATGACAGCCTTAAATTCTTCTCCATCATCCCCCTCATAAAACAGTGGCAGTTTCTTTCAATAGCAGTTGTACAGTCTCTTTCCTGAAGCTTTTGTTAATATTATAGTCAACTTTACATCCATTAGACACTTACACAAGGGGCAGAAGAGGGCACAAGAAATGTCTAAAGAGCAGCCTTTAAAGATAAATCTACTGGAATCTGACCTCATGGCTATCAGTGTTTATTTAGTCAGTAGGTAAGACAAATAGGGAAGCAGGAGAAGCTGTTGTCAGGGAAGGAAATGGCTAGAAAGAAAACGATGCCTATCAAGTCTGAACTTTATCCCATGAAAAGAAGGACCTACAAGGGACAAAGTTAAATTTGCACACATGGCATTTAAAGCTTTTAAACCTTTTAATAAATCTTCATTAAAAGATGCAAATTTAAAGTTAATTCTTATGTAAACAGAATGTATCACATAATACTTACCAAGTATTGGGCTTTACAAGTCATGAAACAGAAGCAGTTCCTCCAGTGGAATTTAACATTTAGCCTCATATTTATTAGAACCAACTGGAGGCTACCAGGCTACGACTCCTGCAGGAGGGACTTTGAGGACCCTGGAGCTACCTGCCAGGTCTTTCCTGATCAGAAAAGAGTGTGCCCCTTACTTTACACCCTGTGTCTTCCCAGGGGCATCTCTTCCTTTCTTCTGTTGCCATGTTTTATCTATTTCTCTGGTTCTGACACAGGACTCTTTCCACCCTCCTGGCCCATCCTTAGCACACCCTGGAGTGCATCATCAAGCCTTCTGGGAGCTTACTGTCTTTACACCAAACCTAACAGGACAACTGCTGAATAAATGAAGAGACCAGAACTTGAAAATATGATAATAAGCCCTTGACATACACATGATTGATGCGACATGCAAACTAAGATAAAGATGTACAACATGATACCTGATGGGCCAGAATATAGATGTTGTGTCCCACATCCTTGGGGGAAACCCCATCATCTCCACCCTCCTCCTCCCCGTGATCACACTCCAGTCCCTGGTTGTAGGCGTTCTTCATCACATCCACCTAGCCAAGAAAAAAAAGGGAACGATGAGATTTGCAATGTCACAACACACATTTCAGATTATGTGTGAGCTATAATTTAAAACTAGGAAGCTTTATGAGTCTAAAAGGCATAAGAGAATTCTAAATGAAGAGATCCTTGGAAAGCACCTTTATTCAAATGAACACAGAAGTGCATTCCCTGTTGCCTTTGCAAGTTTTTGCCTTGATCTTTGAATGTGAACAGGACTGCAGAGAACCTGGCACCCTGAGAAGTGCCTGTGATGGACTGAGCACCCACAAGGCAACGGGCAGACACGGTGCTGGACGTGGTACTGGGTGCCAAGGATCTCAGGGTAAACACAACGGGGAAGCTACCCGCAGATAAGGAAGGGGCTCTAGCTGTATTTCAGACACAGCGAAACCAAAGTCAACTTTTTCTGGCAAAAATCCATTGCACATAGTTTAGAAGAGCAAGACAGTTCGGTTAAGAGAGTTGCTCAGAACTGACAGAACAGATGAGGTCACAGGCCCCTGATCCCAGAGCCCGGTGCTGTCCCAGGGTCCTTAGGGACACTGGCAATGGTGACTCAAGATGGTCCATTATCCAGTCCAGCCCTTGGGAGAGCAGTGCAAGTTGCGGGCTTTGTTTTCTGATACGTATAGTATAAATCAGGCCAATGTAGGCTTTCGGTACTCTACTAACACAGCTTTAGAAGTTTTCTTACCAGCTCCTTGGGTCTCATGTTGAAAAGAATTCTCTCGGCATTCTCACTGTCGTGTCTGCTCTCCATGATAGCCAGCAAGAGCTTGGAGGCATTGTTCTAGAGACACAGACTGAGTTAACACACACCCCAAGTCTATTTCATGGACTAGCGATCGCTTGCACACGCTTTAATTGAAATTACCAAGACTCCTTCCCCCCCATAACAAACAGAATTTAAAATTGTTACTTTCTTCGTCTTATTACCATTTTAAAACAGGATGCTTTACTTCATTGTCAGAACAAAATAAGACTGATGCCTCATGAGCGATATGTTACGTGAGTTATTTTCAATATCGGTGAGAAGGTGTTTTAAGTGCAGATTGGGTTACTATATGCTGCTGTAAAATATGACTATATTTTCCTTCCCTGTTTCCTCTATAGACATTTCCGTGATTGCATTTTAATAAGACAGTAAGGTGAACAGGAAGCAGTGATGTATTTTATTAAAATGGCAAATAAAGAATGTAGCACAATGGTTTTTAAAAGTAGAACAAATATATCATTAGCAAATCAAAATTCTGCATACATTTGAGCCATACTGAGAATATATGAAACACTAAATTCTTGAATTAGAAATATAAATTTATTGACAATGGCTTACTGACCTCACTACATGACGTCACATAAACAGCACATTTATGATCTCGGCTGTGAAGAAAAAAGAGTATTTTCTTTTCTGTTCTCAATCTGAGCATCAAATCCAGGGCCTTGCACATGCTGGGAAGCACGCATTTACCACTGAGTTACCTGCTCAAGGCCAGAATAATATTTTCCAGTTTTGCTTAATAAAGAAGGAAAATAATGTATGTTGTCTGTGATGTGTTCTAATTTTATTTAGAAGTACTTCATCTCAGTTGTTTACTGATACCAAAAATGTTTTCTGAAATAACTGTTATCCTATATGGGGACCTCCTGGCGGCAGCCTGCTTCCAAAAAGCACAACAGCCTACAGATTTTGAAAGCTGTTTCTGTACCCTGTATTTTCCATAGCACTGCTACAGAATTTTCGTAGATAGCAAGATGGTAAAAATAAATATCCAGGAGATAGTTGTACAAGGGTTTTCATAGTAGATAAGAACCTATTCTTAACCCAAAGTCTTTGATAAGAGCATGAAACAGTGTCAATTTTGTTGTTGTTATTAATACAGGGTCTCACTACATAGTTCAGACTCATAGTGATCCTCCTGCCTCAGCTTCCCCAGTGCTGAGATTATAGGCACACACCACCATCCCGGTTCCAGGGCCCACACAGCATACGGTACCAGGAATCAAACTTGGGTTCATTCTCACATTGCCAGGCAGGCACGTGGGATGCTAAGCTATCTCCCCAGTCCGTGTCAAATGGTTTTAAGACACAAATGACTCAAAGTTAACATCTTTAAAGAATAAAAAGCAAGCGCTCACCTCGGCAGCATGGGTGCTAAAATTAGAACAATACAGTGAAGACTAGTGTGGCCCCCATGCAAGGAGGACATGCAAATTCGTGACACATTCTCTATTTTACAAAATGATAATAAGCAAGATTGAATGAATGTTGGGGTCTAAGTAGACAACCACCACATAGCTTGATAAGGTTGCACAAATTAATTCTGCTGTTTCATTTGAGGAGTTCATTTTAACCCCCTACTTAAGAAGTATACAGTCTAAGGGTCTCTTGAAGTGACCTAAGTTAACACAGGATAGCAGAGATGACTGTACTACTAATTTCTATTAGCTTTTTGAAGGGAGCCACTAATGTTTAAAATTTATTACTTTGACCAACTCTCTACGCTAATAACTGCAATCTGAACAACTTCACTGAGGACAGCAATGTGCACTATAACAACCATGGATGAAGAACTTTCATCTTTTTCTTTTAAATGTACATTGTGTCTCGTGTTTCATCCATTACTTTTATACTCCCTTTAAAACAAATTTAAATGGTGAAAAGGCCAAGGAAAAATACTAAGGCTTAGTGAAAGGAAGAGTTAATGATTAATTGCTTGATCAGTCTTGCATGCCTATAGCTGGCCATCTGAGCAACACATTTGATGATAACAATACAAAATACAACAACCATTATTAATTTTCTATTCTTGTTTTGAAGTTCTGTACCATTTTTATTGTTCTACATTGCTTTGTTTTGGTCTTTGTTCTTGTTACTTGTTGTTGAAATTATTATTATCCCATATGGGGACCTCCTCTTTTAAAAAAAGGGGAGCAGGCGAGATAGCTCAGTGGACTAAGCACCTGCTTAGGCAAGCGCAGGGACCAGGGTTTGATCCCTGGCACCACATGACAGGTAACCCCCTGGGCGCACTGAGCCAGCAACCGAGACCGGGCATAGTGGTGCCCACCTGTAATCCCAGCACTGGGGAGGCTGAAAACAGGAGGATCATTAGGAGTCCAAGCTGCATAGTGAGACCCTATAGCAAATACATAAAAAAAAGTGACTGAGGTCAGTAACAGTGACGGTGGAGATGAGGTGAGAGGTACCAGTGTTGCTGACCTGTCATGAAAAGAACTGAGTGCTCTGAGAGAAGAGCACTATTTTTCCCCACCCCATTTTCATTTTTGCAGATTTGCATCGATCATGGAATCTAACGTATAACCTAGGGCCCTGCACAAGCAACAAGCCTACGTAAAGTCGGCTTCAGGATCAGAGCAGAGCTTTAACTCTGACAGCCACCGGAACAGGCCCCCTAGAATTCAGAGAGCGCGCCTGGGCTGTGCTATCCGCAATCTCTAATGAACCATGCTCAGCAGGCCTGATACATAATAGCTTAAAAATACATCCAATTTTAGAATGCTATCAGCAAGGTGGTTATTTTTTTTTTTAACCAATTTTCTTTTTCCCACTATGTCAGGAGAATAGAAAGAAATCTTGTAAAGCACCTACTGAAATCTGAGTCAATTTCAAAGTGCAAGAACCTATGTATGCTAAAATGTCAAATGGAAGTGTCAGTACTAATAGGGGATTTTCTTTCACAGGAAGCCAGAGTCTTCAAAACAAAACATTCTACATATTTAGAATTTCTTATTCATAAGCCAGTTATTAAAAAAAAATTTAAAGGACAAGACATATAATTCAAATATTCATATTCTGGTACTAAATGAGTATGTAAAGTATACTTAAAATGATGGATAATTATGCAACAAATTCACGGATAAGTGATACGAAATAAAACCTTAGTATTTTTCACATGGTATCTTGCTAATGTTACAGAGAATTTAAAGCACCCTACCCAAGAGAGGCTTCAAATTTGCCAAATTAATATTCTGTTTGATCAACATTGTTCTCACATTAACCAATAGTTAGAAAATATCACAGATGGTTCTTAAGGGTACACTTATCTCAAAGCAAAAATTCGTATTTAAAAAACTTCAAGTCAAATCCACAGCTTGCTATTTTAGTCATACTTTGATTTATTCAACTACATATTTTCTTTTTTTTTTCTTTTTTGTATGTATTTAGTATAGATCTCACTACACAGATTGGACTCATAGGGATCCTTCCTGCTTTTTAGCCTCCCAAGTGCTGCGATTACAGGCGCACACCACCACACCCAGTCTCATTTGCCACCTCAGCACACCCAGGGGGTGGGACCGGTACCACAGGCCAGACCGGGGATCCAACCTCCAGCCCCTGCATCTGCCTAAGCGGGTGCTTTAATCCACTAAGCTATCTGGCTGGCCCATCAACTGCATATTTTAAGTGGTGTAGATAAATCTGTGCTTATTAATACAAATATTAAAGAATCTTTTCTTAAGAAAAGTATTTTAAACAGTTAATATGTTCATGCTGTTAAAGCATATCCCATTTATTTTTATTTCACATTTTTCTTTAAGTCCTGTCCCTCACTTGTCTTTTTTTTTTTTTTTTTTTTTTTTTTTTGAGGTACCAGGGATTGAATTCAGGAGCCCTCACTTTCCAGGCAGGTGCTTATTCTACTGCGCTATCGCCCTGTTCCCCACCCCCCTGCCCATTTAATTTATTTTTAACTAAATCTGAATTTGTAAATACTCTGTATACCCATACTTTATTTTTTTATTTCTTTTTGGCAGAACCAGGGAGTGAACTCAGGCCTTTGCTCTTGCCAGGGAAGCACTTATTCTACTGAGCCATCTTCCCGGCCCGCCACCCATATTTTAAATTGATGAGTTACTCCATAGTTTCTTCTATGAAGTCACAGTAATTAAAAATGAGACATGGAAGTACAGTGTTTAATGAAGAAATTCAAAAGCTAAAGATGAAAGCTTCTTTACAGTGTTTCTGTATGAATTATAGTAAAGTGAATGTAAGATAAAATAACCAAATCTTTTCCAACTAAGCTGACTGTCCCACAGGCCTCAGCTGGTCTTTCTCCCCAAAGGCTGGGGCCGGTAGAGGTAGGGAGCCATGCACAACCTGCATTAGGGATCCCTTCTATCTTGGCTGTGAACGCAATCTCACACACATTACAGATGAAACAGTGGAATGCTGGGAATGCATCTCTCCTACTAAGAGAAGAACTGTTTACTAAGAACTTGAGGAAATCTTTCCACAAGTATGACAGATATACATTTCACCACATATCTCTATCTACACCTAAAAACATAAAAATCTACACCTACATATAAAAATCCCATTTCTATTTTTCTTGGCCATATGTTTGCCTATACAAAGTTCAATTTAATGGTACAATTTCTAGGGTATGAACAGAAATAGCTGTACAAAGAAATTATATTTAATCAAATGATTAGCTTTGTAGAAATCTGCTTGACACTAGACACAATGATGTGGTCTTTAATAATTTATCTCAATTGAATATCATGCCTTAGCATTTGGGATTTATGCAGTGTCTGTGTGCATTCATTTATCTATTTTCATATGAACAAAGAGTTCAAGAGGAAATTTTTTGAAATGTTTTCCTGCTTTTGAGTTCTGATCAATGGAACTGCTGGAAGTGTGTACAAAGCTTAAATTAAAGGATGCCTTTAAAGGCAATGGGAACATGACAATATATTTGGAAGGGAAAATAAGATAACGATTTAATAGAGATTTAGAAAGGTGAGCGACATATATTCCTTTGACATTACCTAATTGTGACTTGCTAGATGGAATTCTCTAGTCAACATGAATTGAATAGACATGGTATGATGAATGGTCAGCACCTTTTACTTCTTTATATAACGAAAAACATAAAATAAAAACAGAAAGGGAGTAGCGAAACAAAGTAGCTGCTTGGAGGAACTTCTAGCAAATGAACATTACCTCATTTCACATTTTATCAGGAATTCAGCGAGCCTTTGATTTCCCTATTCCCTTCTGACATTTCATTATTTGAAAATCTGATACTATATTGCTTTTTCTAAGAGCTATTAGAAGATGCAGACTCAACACTGAAGAGGAATTTTACGTAGAGACTGTAACTTTCCCCACCATAACAATCCACTTGATTTTACCCTACCTTTAGTTGAAGCACCAGGTCCATTCGGTATTTACCAAGGGGGTTGATATCACTTAAAATCAGTGCAATTATAATATCAATCCCATTTGATTCATGAGTAGCAATACAGGTCTGCAAAACAAGGTGGTTGTAAATTAACATTTTATTGACAACAGGACTATACCTGGCATGTACTGGCCATCCTTTCAGAGTTGTCTGATATTAACCTTCCTCATCCCACCTGCCAATGCCTCAATGATTAAAACTCCTTGAAGAAGTTGCACATTATAACATGGTCCTAAAAATCTCACCCTTAAGCCTCTGATTTTAATTTTTTTTTAATTATGTTCAGAATCCTACTTTGGTATATCTTCAGCTACACAACATACCTAAATAACAGGACATACATGAACAGAATTGCCTTAGTTTTTTATCTTTAGAATGTAAATAGGATTTAACTCTGACCATTTGATTTATTCTGTATAGAGTGTGACTATTTATTGATTGATATTGATTAAATAGATCCGAACACAGAGCACTAACAGGGACACGGTGGGAAACATACATCTTTTTAAAAATAAACTATTTTTATAGAATGTTAAGTCAAATACTCTTTCAGTTAATAAAATTTAACATACTCATCAATAGAGCAGTTCTTTCAATTTAAATTTTAAGAGCTGATCCATTTGAAGAGGATATAAAAAAAAGGAAGAATTTTTAAGTAAATCTCACAGAACTGATGTACTGTGTTAAGTCAGGTGTTAATGCCAAATTACTGGCAAGAGATGCTACTGCCAGGAACCAACAAAGACAGTAGTGCTGAGCCCTCCTGACATCTGGAGCAGCCCCATCCCTGATTGGGGGGGTGGGGAAGTTGGATCAGTTGGATCTTGGATCTTTATAGAGGGGTCGCAATTTGGGAAAGAATACCAAACATTTTGAGAGATGAATAGGCATATTTTTGCAGCTGAAGATATACCTAAGCAGGAATCTGAGCATAATGGAAAGACATTTAAAATCAGGAGCTTGAGGGTTGGATCTGTGGAACTATGTTACAGCACAGGATCTCACCAAGGAGTGTGAGACACTGAAGCACTGGTTGATGAAATGAGAAAGGTTAACATCACGGACCGCTCGAAACGGTGGCCACTTAGAACCAGAATTTTTTTCCCTTTATACAAGGAATGTTTTAAAACCAGAACAGAGAGGAAAGGGTTTTCCATCCATCTTCTCCACATTATTTCCAGAGGATTTTGTGCTTATTAAAATGTTTGCCAAACAAAGGAAATCCACCCATAGATTATTTCTAGAATTTGCTAACAACCTTCTTTCCTTCAGCACATATGCCGAGCATAGAGAACAAAGGTGGGGTTCATGCTATTGCGTTATTGGTATTTTTTTTTCCTTTTAGAGCTTACTTCATTTTAGTAAATTAATTTCAAAACTCATTTTCATTTTCTTGTAAGACCAAAGGTAGGGAACATGCTTACAATCTCTCTGTGAAATAGTAATAGTGGTAACATGATACACATACTGGGCCAGCCAAATAGCTCAGTGGATTAAAGCACCTGCAAGCAGGCGCAGGGGCTGGGGGTTCGAACCCCAGACCTGCCGTGCAGGCCCCACCCCCGGGGCGTGCTGAGATGGCGATTGAGACTGGGCGTGTTGGTGCGCGCCTGTAATCCCAGCTCTTTGGAGGCTGTAACCAGGCATATCACTAGGAGTCTAATCTAGTAGTGAGACCCTGAACACCCTGTAGAACCTTCCCTAAAATAAAAAAAATAAAGAAAGAAAGAATGGCTCTCCCACCGACTGATTCTGGTACTCTGAGATACTAGAAAGTTACTAGAAAGTTACTTCAGCTCTGAGTCAGAAGCTATTCATCAGCAAAATAGAAGCAACTATGATTACTTCATAGGCTTACTGTGAGTATAGAGGAGCTAGTACACCCACCCACTGTAGGGGAGCCAAAGAACTGCAGAAATTCACTCTACAACTCCTGGAAAGCGTCTCTACCCATGAAAACTCAAGAGTGCTTATGAAACATATTTACTCTTAGTTCAGTAACTCTGATTTTTATCTTGAATGTTTTCATGGGAAGTTTCATTTAGGATGAAACGAAATAAAAAGATGGCACAGTATTTGCTACTCGATATTCAGTCTTTGTGTGTTGTGTTAGGAAAGTAAAAATGCCTGGCAAAGCAAGAAGAAAGGTCTTTTAATGTAGACAAAGTTGGCTCCTTCCCTGGCTTGGCCTTCTCTTCTAGCAGTCATGGCTATTTCTACACGAAGAACAGCTTTCAGTTACCTGATTTTCATGGCATGGGCCCTGGCAATACTCCGTCAAGCTCTCCAGGGTCTGGTTGACCAGCGCCACGTTCTTCTCATTGATATAGAGCCCCAGCAGGCCCAGGCCACCTGTCGTGCTCCCGCAAATGCAGTCCAAAAACTGGAGCGTCTCACAGACAAGGTTATAATTTGTTTTGTTGTTTTGATTCCTCAAGAAGTTCTGTGGGAAAAAGAAAATACATCTGAGGAATTTTTTTAAATATCGCTGTGCTAAGCTTTCAGTTCCCTATGTGTTTTTCTTTTCTTTTTTTTTTTAATGTATTCAGTACAGGGTCTACAGGGTCTCACGATATAGATCGGACTCGTAGTGATTCTCCTGTTTTCAGCCTCCCAAGTACTAGGATTACAGACATGCACCACCACGCCCAGTCTCAGCGCGCCCTGGGAGTGGGGCCAACACAGCAGGCCCAAGGATCGAACCCCAGTTGTTGAGCCTGCCTAAGCAGGTGCCTTAGTCCGCTGCCTATATGTTTTTCTAATTCAAAAAGATCTGCAGTGTGACATGGAATTGCTCTTTATAAGAAAGTTTCCTAGTTATTAAATCTTTCTGAGGCTTAGGGGGCTTAGATTTAAGCTCAAATATTTGTAGTCATCAGATTTCATAATAAATGCTTCTCCATGTCATTATTTTAAAACTAGATAGATAAGACAAAAATAGTAAGAATAAAAAGGGAGAGAAAAAGGAAAAGTATAAAAGCAATCCACTGGGAAAGGAAGTCAACAAATTTTCAAGTAAATGGTCCCTTATAAACAGTACACTATATGTGGATCGTGCTTGTGTGGAATCCACTATCTGTGGATTATAAGTGACATAACCATTATAGAAGGCAACATGGAGACATTGTCAAAATTGCCAGTAAATACACAGTTTGACTTTCAAAACATGGTTCTAAGTCTCTGTACATAGGTACAAAAAGCTATTCACCACAGAACCCTTGTTATACCAAAAATTGGCAACTTTTAGAGACCCACAGTTATGTGACTAGTTTAATAAATGATAGTACATCCACACTGGAATATGGTGAAGCCACAAAAATGATTCAGCTTCAATATACATGATAAGCATCATTTCATAAAAAGTAATTTAGCAATAAGATATAATACAAAATGAAAATGAAAGGTTTACGAACATCTATCACTGTGTTGCTATGTGCATGGAATTTTCTAGAATGAAACACAACCAATTGATAATGACTTCCTTTGGGGAAAATAAGGCTGGTGAAAGGGTAAGCTGGGAGGGAGCATTTCATTTCTTATTCTAATGAATATGTGCATTAGACAAGAGTCGACAAGAGTTGCAGCTTCTGACATCTCTAACTCCGGCGTGTCCCGTTCAGTCCTAATGTTAACTTCATTTACTATTCAATTTATTCATCAGAATTTTTTCTACAATTTCTTCTTCTTTTTTTCATGGTACCAGGATTAAACTCAGGACCTTGCTCTTACCAGGCAAGCACTTATTCCACTGAGCTATCTACCTGGCTCTCTATCATTTATTCTTATTAAAAGTATCTTAAGGCTGGGGAGATAGCTTGGCAGCACAAGCGCCTGCATGGCAAGAGAAAAGACCTGGGTTCAATCCCTGGAACCACATGTCTTGCTGGCCCCAGAACCCCAGGCACTCCTTGCTGCCACTGAAACTATGTGTAGCGGTACGTGCCTGTAATACCAGTGCTGGGGAGGATGAGACAGCAGGATCACTACAAGTCTGAGCTGCAAAGCTAGGCTTTTTACCAAATAAATAATTCTTAAAAATACATTTTAAAAACAGCTTTTTGCATATTGATATGGCTTTACTTTTACAGCGAGGTATAAAAAGTACAGCCATATTAATATGCTGAGCTGTAAAAGGCTCAAGTCAGCAACTTCTGACATTGCCAGTTCTGCAGATAATCCACTACTATTATAGACTACTGGACTATATTGAATTGTTTTGCTGAATTCATGCACCTACAATATTTGAACGGCAATGGAACACCCATCTCTATCAAAACTAAGCAAAAAAGGGGGATATAAATGAAGGTCCATTTTGTAGTGAAAAAAATAAATATATCTGTATATACAAAATAGGATAGATATATAGCTACTTTCTCTTAGTTCAATGAGAAGAAAGATTTATACTAATAGTATTTACACAAAATATCACGCCTGCATCTTGTATTCTATAGAATAACTACTACAAAGACAATAATGTATTAATTATTGTAACTGTCCTACTAACCTGCTTTGAAACTGCCTCCTTGTTATTTCTCAATAAAATTAATAAAAAAAAATAGTGCTTAACATCGTTTGATCCCTACTCCTATACTCAATCAAATGCTATCCACACTACTGCTTATCCTGTTGACCTAACTCTTCCATTGCTAGACTGGATGGCTTAGGACTAGTATGCAGATACATTCAATATCTTTCCTCTGAAAGAAAGGTTGTGGATTCTGCCTGCCAACCACGTTGTGGAAGTTCACTGCAGGTTGTGGCAGGATGTACCCAAGAGTAGCAGCTTCTGACATCTCTAACTCCGGCATGTCCCATTTAGTCCGACACACTTGCACTTACAATCGCCTACCAGTGTGGAACCCCTGCTCTTCAGACCCTTGCTGACAATACAACTTCATACTCTGTTGTCTTCTAATTCAGAACAGGGAGTATTTGCTTCCTATAGTGAAGATACAGGCTAATGGGATGCACCCAGGTGGGTCCAGATTTAACTGCAGACAATCAGCCAGTTTCACTGTGATTCATTAATGACGTCTTTCACCAGCTAAGTCATCTGCTATAGCTGCTTTAGTATGACAGGAGGTAAGTTTTAGTTGAAGGTCTTCAGCGTAAGCATATTCACTTTCAGTGAGGCCAGTCAAGGGCTTCACCTTTCCTGCGGTTTTGCCAGGGTGACACAAACAATGTATATACAAAAGTTACATTTTTTTGTTATATAGGTCTTGCTTTATCTTGGTCTTAACCATCCAGCTTTTATGCTGAGCTGTAAAAGGCTCAAGTCAACAATTTCTGACACTGCCAGTCTTACAGATAATCCACTACTATTATAGACTACTGGACTATATTGGATTAGTCTGCTGAATTCACGCACCTACAATATATGAATGGCAATGGAATACACATCTCTGACAAAAGTAAACAAAAAAGGGGATCTAAATGGATCATTTTATAGTCAAAAAATATATATCTGTATATACAAAATAGCATAAATATACAGTTGCTTTCTCTTAGTTCAGTGAGAAGAAGGTTTTGAACTAATAGTGTTTAGACAAGATATCATGTCTGCATCTTGTATTAGGAATAACTACTACCCTCATGCAATCATGGGGAAGACTTCTAGAGTTTGTGATTAACTCATGATCCACTGGGATTATGGGTGTGACTGCTGCTGGGATTACGGGTGAGGGTACTACACCCAGCCAGGGGAAGATGAGCTCAACTTAGGGGAGACAGACTCGCTCCTGGTTGCCATTGTTGCTGCTATTTTTCCCTTTTTCTGTTGCTGTTTTGCTGCCTTCTGCCACATGAACATCTGCCCTCTGCCATGTGTCAGTCTGCCTTGGAGACAGCTTAGTATGGACTGAAACCTCCAGTAACTGTGAGCTAAATAAAGCTTTCCCTCCTTCAAACAAACAAACAAACAAAAGGAATAACTACTACAAAGACAACAATATGCAATGTATTAATTATTGTAACTGTATTGCTAACCTGTTTTGAAACTATCTCATTGCTACCTCTTTCTCAATAAAACTATTAAAATATAAAAAAATGCAAAACAAAAGTCAAAAATTTTAGGCACTCGTCAGTTTATCTGTCTGATTGGGAAAATGTAAGGAAGAAGACATTAAGACATGGACTGCATTTGTTTACAAAGGTAACAGCTTTCACAGTTGTAAAAATAGATTTCCTGCATTAACTGTGTTTCTGAGAAGAACTAAAGCATGTGCAGTATCCTCCCTCAAGAAAAAATATAGATGACACAAATCTGGTTTTCCTCAAAATTACCAGGAAGGGATGATCCCAAATTACCAGGAAGGGATGATCAGTGACGTTACAGATGTCTGAGTTGCAGGTCTGCAGAAGGCTACTGTGCAAGTCTAATTTTTTTTCCCCAAGCATATAAGCAATTTCCTTCCATTTTTCTTCACTAATAAAAATGTGCTCTTCCATTTCAGAAGAGCATCTCTGCTCTCATCGATTCCCCCTCCAAAACAACTTGCTGGCTGTACTTGGATTTAATTACTTGGAACCACAGGCTGTAGTCACAGGTGTAACACAAGGAGGGACAAATACCTGCAGTTCCCGGTTGTGATTCTCACACAGTAACTGCAGGAACCTCAGGATGGGCTGCATGATGACGATCGCAGGGCTCATTGTGACTTCCTCCGCTGACTTTTCCTCAGCACTTCCGGCTTCCGGTCCTGGGCACATAATGTCTATTTCTGGGTCCATCTCCCTTCTGTATACACAGTATGCTTTGGAGGTTGCTGTGGAAGCCTCTGTTAATTGCCCTTTCATTCCCTCTTTTAAATGTAGTGTGGAATCTCTTACTGAAAATAAAGCAGCACCCTTATAATTCTGCATTTCTCTTTGCTAATTAAAGACAGAAAAGACAAACAGGAACCCAAATTCTCTAACCGTCTCGCATAAAAATCATCAGAAGAGATACAACAATTTCCCCAGAGGGATTTGAAGTGGCAATAAAAAGTTAATATTTGCAGGGAGACATCAGAAAAGAGCTCAGTGCATAAGCAATTTCAGGATGCTTTGATCTAGGCACCAGAAAGCTGCTCACGTGAGTTCACATACACAAGGTGGGAAAACCACCAACAACTTTAATGTGTTAACATCTTTATGATTTATATTTAATACAGCACACCAACAATTTTATTCTTGCAAATGCCAAGAATCTTTTGTTGGAGTTTAGTGCCACGCTTTGTGGCCCTACAGTTCAATCTCCACGGTCACTTAAAGGTCCCAGGAGGCCACTCTTTACCATGCACGGCACGATGAAAGAACACAATTTTTCATGTCACTGGTGACTTTGTACTGATTAAGTTTCATTTAAGCTTGGTCCTGTAGGGGTGTTTTAGGGTCAAGTTCATAACCAAAACCATTTATAGATGGAAGTGGGGCTAATTAAACCAACAGGAGACAGGACAAGCATAACTGATAATTAAAGACCAGGCTTTTCTTTTTTTTTTTTTTTTTCTCTCACTCTGTCCTCCCAAATACACAAATAATTCGTTACCTCTCACTCGTGGACCAGATGTCATCAACTCGTTATCATCCTCCCTCTTTTTGCTCCCTAAGTCTATGGTATTCACTGTCACCGTCGACCTTATCTCTTTCTGAGCAACCTTCATCCGGTCATAGAGAACTTTGAAGAATTTCTCTGACTTTTTTTGTTCATGCAACTGCTGGTAGAAAGAATACTGCAAGAAAACATATTTTATGATATCAATATCCAAGGGGAGAAAAATAGTGTTTTTATGCTTGAAATAAATTAACCATTATGGCTAAGAGCACTCATTTAGTGTGCTACCCATTAGTACTTCACAAGTTGACAGCTTTTCAGTCTGTCGTACTATTTAATATGTACTAATAATAGTGAGAATTTGTGTAGCACTTTCCACTAAAACCCAACATATTTTCATATGGCATTTCATGTACCCTTTGTGATTATATATTTGTCAAAAATTACAAGGACATTGTAAGAACTATGGAAAGAGTTATTGGCTTTTATATTATTATAAATTCATGCAGCGATGCAAAATATATTTACTGGGCTGACCAAAAAGTTCAGCGGATTAAATCACCTGCAAGCAGGGGCTGGGGATTTGATCCCCAGACCTGTCGTGCTGGCCCTGCCCCCGGGGCGCACTGAGATGGCAACTGAAACTGGGTGTGGTGGTATGCATGGGCCTGTAATCCCAGCTCTTGGGAGGTTGTAAACAGGCGCATCACTACAAGTCTGACCTAGTAGTGAGACCCTGAATACCTTGTAGACCCTTTCCTAAAAATATAAAAAAATTAAATAAAAAAAAAATATATATATATACTGAATGCTTGCTAAGTGCCAGGCCCTATGTGAGTGATAGGGATAGAATAAAAAGGAAAAGAACCAAGATTCTCTGCCTTCATCAGTTTGTAATCTAAAGTAAAAAAACAGATGCTAATCTAATAATTATCCTGAATAAATATAGTTTATGGTAAGTGAGTTATTTTTCTCTTTATCTAAATTATAGTATATTTAATTTAGAACGTGTTACCATGCCAACCTCACTCATGAGAACCCAGTGATAAATAGGCATTAAGTTCTTCTGGTACTTCATTTGCTACATTGCTTTGCATGGGGCTGAGGAGGAATTCAATTTGAAATAAATTCTCCTTTACAGTGAATAATGATCTACACAGGGCTCAACATCACAAGTATGACAAGATTTATCTTAGTAAGATATGGACATCCTGGACTTGGGAATATTTACCCTAATCATTGTCTGCTTAGCACCTTATGTAAACATCCAGAAGGAAAAGTAAGAGACAGGAAAGATGGTACACTCCAAAGAAGACAGAATTGGAAGCAGGTAGGGAAAGAATAATGTATTTTTAAAAAACTATGAAACAGACATGACAAAAGGAAGAGAAATACAGTAAAAAGTTAATAAGGATAGTGATCTTATAAGTACGGTGATAGAAGAGATTAATATAAGCTTAATGGGAATCAGTGTGGAAAAAAAAGAAACAAAAAATGATTTTCTGATTAAGTACAACCAGTCATATTCCAAAATAAGAAAATCTAGATATTTTAGGAGACTTTAGGCCTTACAGACATGCATTACTAAGGGGATGCCTGCAGCCACGAGCCACAAGCCTGGGCATCTGTAGATGGGACTCCAATGGTATCAGGTATTTAAGTGATACCCATCCTGTCTTCTCTCTCTCTTTCTCTCTCTCTCTCTCTCTCTCTCTCTCTCTCTCTCTCTCTATATATATATATATATATACATATACACACACACACACACGCACACACATATATCTTATGAAGCCTGAAATGTTAGCTTCACAGCTGCAAAGAGAAGGCTGGCAATCCTTCCCGGAAGCAGGTCAGAAGTCACCAGTAACCATAGCAATGACAGCAGAGAGGGTCAAGCTGTTCTGTTGGTGTAAAGCACAAATGCAGCCTTCACAGCCTTCCACGGTGCAAAGGAGTGAGCTGATGCATGAGCGTCAGTACTGTCAGAAGGTGCACAATGTTTCTAGCATAACACTGGCAGACGGTGCAAGGAGGGTCCCATATATAGCAAGGAAGTTACGGAACTGTTCTCGCTCCATTAAAACAAAGGTTTCCAATTTCTGGGCGTCCTCCACACCAATCGCAGCGAGGATACTTCCAGTTCCAACAGTGATACTATCATTGTCATTTTAATTATGAACAAAATGAGGTTCGGGACGATGAGCATCTTACTGAACATCACACAACAAATAAGTGGGAGAGCTAGCGCTTAAATCTAGATTTTCATACTCTAAACCACCACTTATAAAAGCTCAAAGTAACTGATTGCATAGCTGCTCTCAATGCCATTTATTTATTAACTTATTTTTCACTTTGTGTATTTGATACAGGGCCTCACTATGCAGCTTGGACTTGTAGTGATCCTCCTGTTTTCAGCCTCCCCAGTGCTGGGATTACAGGCATGCACCACCACGTGCAGACTCGGTGGCCAGCTCAGCACGCCCTGGGGGCAGGGCGAGTGGGACTGGGGATCGAACCCTGGTCTCTGCACTTGCCAAAGCAGGCACTTAGTCCACCGAGCTATCTTGCCTGCCCTTCAATACCACTTAAAAGAATGAGTGTGACACAGCTACTAGTGTAATGTTACAAAGTGTTCTTCACTATCAGCCAGAAAGGCAACATGTACACACAGAAGCTCAAACAGCTTAGCATCCTGCTACACTTGATACTAAAAATCTGTTACTGTCAGTGGTCCGGCACTAAGCCCAGTGAGACATCTAGGGAGTCCACACACATCAGTGAGCAGAGGTAGTTTGCTTGTTTATAGCATGCTCCTTTTAAAAAAACTAGTGGAGGACATATTTGGATCACATTGACATAGTTATAAAAATAAACATTTGATTTTGGTCCAAAAAAATAAGAAATCAGGCTTTACAATGATGAAAAGCATGAGTTTAATGAAGACTAAAAGCAGGTTTCACATATAATTATATAATCTCAACAGATTGTACATGGATTTTTCTTCCAATCTAGTTTTTGCTTAGGAAATGACCTCATGGAGCTGTGCAGAGGGCAAGGGAGAAACCCTACCGTTCTTTTTAGGAGCTGAAGGAAACAGATGAACACATCTGGAACACAGGAAGAATTTGGCCCCAAAGAAGGGGAGGAGACAGACTGGAAAAGGGAAGGTCGCCAGGGAGATAGCTCAGCAGTATAAGTGCCTGCCTGGCAAGCGCAAGGTCCTGAGTTCAATCCCTTACCGGAAAAAAAAAAAAAAAAAAAACTCAAAAAACAAAATACTAAGCTGGAAAAGGGAAGGTCAGAGAAGGGAATGGAAATAATGGGCTAGAGATGCAGAGAAGGACAAGGGCACGGGACACAGTGAATCAGACAGTGACACCTTCCAGAGCTGAAGAAACAGATAGCTATTTCTAGAAAGGAGATGCTCAATGCAGCCAGGGTGCAGAACCTGGAGTCAGACCGCATGGCTGAGAGAAACTGACTCTGTTCTCTAAGCTTGGGTCTGCCTTGGCTTCATTGGCTAAGGCAGGATACTATATATTTTCTCACAGGCTGCTTGAGGATGAACCAAGTTAGTATATAAAGTCACTAAGAAAGGTGCCAGGTATACAGGATGCGTTATTTTTCTTACTGTTATGCTTAGTGCTTGAAATTATAATGTAAGTCCTCTTCCATCCTCCCTTGAGTGATCTTGCATGAAGTATATTAATGTACAAATTAACTCTTCATTGGATCTGCCACTCTGACCCAAATCTTAGTATAACAGACCAGCACTGTGTGACAATTCATAAGCTGAAAAGCAAGAGGTTAGTGGCTAAGGAGAGAGTGAGAATAAAGAAGTCCTAGGGGATTGGAAGGAGCCTTGAGAGACACATTTTAGTCAGCCACAGGACCAGGAATAAGATTCAGGCTGACCTCAGTTAGACTCTTAGAGCCAGAAGCACCAGCTGACACTTGGGTGAGAAAGTGAGGTACAGGAGTAGAAACCTGAAAAGGGGGGACTGGCAAACGAGACTGTTATACCCCAGCTGCTATGAGGAGTTTTACACATAACTGTAACTTAAGGCTGTTTTATCAACAAATATTTGTTGAATGGCAATAAAGGATGGTAGATATACGTGATATGCCATGATTCATTGCATTAAGAAAGCTCAAATGTAATTGAAGAAGTGGGAGACAATGCCAACAACAAAACAAAGCCTCAAAGCTAAAGTGCTACGCAACTATCAAAAACACATGCTATGGGAACTCAGAAAAGGGAGCAGGTACCAAATGCCCCAGCCAGACAGACTCTGTGAAGGAGGCAGAATCGGATTAGGATTGCTCAATAATAGATCACATTCACTCTTGCACCCCTAGATATGAACTCCTAGATAAAGCCAGACATGGGGCCAGGCAGCGAGGGCAAAGATGTCTCACCTTCTGAAGATTTGTCACTTACTAGACAGAGTTTGATGGTGCACAATTAAACAGGTACAGTAAAGCGGTAGAATCGCTACTAACAGTGCCTACAGGTTACGGCAGAGGCATGCAACAACTAGCGGTCAGTGCTGCCAGGTGGGGTCGGAAAAGGCTTCCCTGAGAAGGAATCCACTGAGTTGACTATTCTAAGAGCAGAAAGCAATACAAAGAATAATGAATGACAATCCATCTGAGGAACTGCAGGAGTTCAGTGTAAAGGGCCGGCAAGATAGCTCAGCAGATGGAGCGCCTGTTTTGGTAAGTGCACCCAAGGTTTAATCTCCAGTCCCTCAGGCCATGCTGGCCACAACTCCTGGACACACTGAGCCAGCAACTGAGTCCAGGCATAGTGGCACATGCCTACAATGCCAGCGCTAGGGAGGCTGAAAACAGGAGGATCATTATGAGTCCAAGCCACATAGTGAGACCCTGTACCTAATACATGAAAAAAGAAAAGAAAAAAAAAATTTCACCCTAGGGGCCAGCCAGATAGCTCAGTGGACTAATGTGCTTGCTTAGGCAGATGCAGGGACCAGGGTTCAATCCCCAGTGTGCTATGCGGGCCCTGCCCTCAGGGCATGCTGAAATAGTAAATGAGACTGAGCACAGTGGCACGCACCTATAATCGCAGAACTTTGGAGGCTGAAAACAGGAGAATGACTACGAGTGCAATCTATGTAGTGAGAGCTTATACACCCTGTACTAAATACATTTTTTAAAAAGCTGATACACAAGAGAAGGAGGAAGAGATGGACTATGAAAGGGAAGCTGGGTGATTTGGGCTGGAGATGCAAGGCCAAGATACTGAAAGAGCAGATCCACAGAGGCTGGTCATGAATGGGAGGTCCAGGAAGGGATGAGGGTGAATACATTACGGTTAGTTTTCAGGTGCTGGTCAGACAAGTGGATAGATGCACTGCCAGTGTCTGGGACGCAAAGGGAGGGAGGGTGCTTGGAGAACAGTGGTGCGTTCTGTTGAAGACATGCTGAGTTTAGGTCCTGGTGGATACCCCACTGACTGCTGGAAGAGAGCTGGATGGGGCGTCTTGGACATCAGTGGGTTGAGAATCATCAGCATAGAGCAGAAGGTAAGCATTTGAAAGTGTGTGAGATTAATGGGGTGTGATAATCAAGTTTGTTTCAAACTGACTGGTTCTGGAGTCTGTCCAGCAGACTAGCGGAGCACACTTCTAGGTGTTTCTGGGTGGTCCATGAACACGTGGCCTTGGGGTCTATGTCTGGTCTCTTACTCTTGCCTCTCTGGTGTTGCTCCACTGCCGTACTTTCCAGCTACCATGAACTAGGATGCATCATTCTTCCACGCTCTTCGGCCACGTTTTTCTTGAAGCCAGCAGCCACGAACCCAGTAACCACGAGCCAAATTCAGCCTTCCCTCCCTTGCACTGTGGGTGCTGGGCACTGGTCCACCCACAGGAAACCTGATTAATGCAGCTGGGAGCAAATCAGATAACAGGGAAGAGTACAAAGAAACCTGGAACACCCCAGGGTCCAAGAGTGAAATAGAAGAAGAGGAAACTTCACAGGAGGTAGACAGCACTCACATGGCTCGCCTGAGGCCCTGAATGCAATCCACAGTGCTGAGAAAAGGAGGGTGAGGCAAAGGAAGGAGAGGGGGAAGAGCGAGGGAAAGCAAAAGTGAAAGAAAAGGAAAAAAGAGAGGCAGAGACAATGACAGGCTAGGACTGAAAGATTTTTTTGTGAAGGTTTCCAAGGAACAACTTGTCAGGAATTTTAAAGTGGAGTGCACTGCTTCTGACAGGACCAGGCTTATTCTGCAGCAATACATGGACACAATAGGCACAAATACTGCTGGAGGACGAAGAGGGATCCTACACAGTGAGACTCCAGGACCCGGATGCAGGAATCTAGAAAATGCTGCAATCCTAAGAAGTGCTTCTGAAGACATTAAGAAATCCTTTACTTGCTTCCTCCAAGTAAGACTGCCACCAATGGTCTATAGTAGATCAGACAGTTTCTTTAGAAAGTCCCCTCTGAATGGCTGGTAGGAAAAGACAAGACAGTTTCTAAGAACACCCCCTCCCACCGCTCCATCCTTCTCCACCTCCCTGCCTAGGGATGTGAGCTGCAAAAGCTTTAGTACCCTGGGAATTCTCAGCACTTCTTTTTTCCACTAAGAAAGAGCATTGTTTAGAAGTCACATTTTTGTTTTGTATCATTTTCTTTTGTTTGTCACTGTGCCATTTGCTCCCCATTTGTGTCATTTCCCCCCAAAGCCGCAGCTATTAGATGTGGCACATGGAGAAACTACCATTTTCCAGTACATGGGGGGGGGGCAGTTAAAGCAAAGTATCTCAGTTTTGAATTAGATGCGGCTTCTGTTTGCCATGAGAGGGGACAGCAGATTTCAGAATTTATAATTAGCTGTGATCAGACAGGTCCCTCCACTGACGCAGGCAAATCCAGGAAGATGGGTTACCAAGCAGCAAAGCCAGAGGACATGTGTGTCTCAGGAGGGCCATTCCCAGCTCTCAGGCTTGTGTAGCACACTGCCTTTGGGTGCGAAGGCATAACCTGGCAGAAGCTCTGAAAGGAAACACATGCTTCCTGGGAAATGGGAGTCGGAGGCCTGTGTGCAGGTGAGCGTAGCACCCCTGGGATGGGCAGGACTCCTAAAGAAAGGCCTGGAGGGTGCTTCTGAAGCAGCTCATCACTTTATGGCATCATCTATGAAGGCTTGTGAGCTCCACAGCGAATCAAATAAATGTGTAAAGAAAATGTGATGCACAACCCTTCCTTTTTGAGACAGTAACGAGAAGTTAAAACAAAAACCATGACTTTCCCTCCGTTTCTATGACATGTAAATAAGAAACAAAACTAATAACAGCAGTGACCATGACTGCCGGACAGGCACCTGAGTTTGCGAATTGCCTCCTTCGAGCAGGGCAATGCCGAGGAAGATGCCTTCGGAAAATATCCGGTCGTTTTTGGTGTTGACGATAACATCGATGACAAGCTCTGAGGCGCCCTCCTTGTCCAATAGGCACTGGATGTCCGAAAGTGACGACCCCATCTTATCGGCATCTTGGCCAGAAAAGGTCCCTGTAGTTAAGAAAAATAAGTAAATAAGCCTCAATGACTGACATTATTGACACAGAATAGTTTCTAATTCTTAAACCATAAAATATTTACTGAGATATTAATTGACTACAAAGTCAAATATGAGAGCCTGAGTTACAAACTGTTAAAAAGCTATAAAATTTTTATTAAATTTCCAATGCCTGGTTTTGTTTTGTGTTTGTTTGTTTGTTTTTGGTACCAGGGATTGAACTCAGGACTTTGTGCTTGCCAGGCAGGTGCTTATGCTGCTGAGCTATCTCCCTGGCCCTACAAATGTTTTTTCCTAACAAATATCTTAGAAAAAGAACACTACCTTTACATTTGGTCCTTAACTTATGCACCAAGAAACTATCATTAAGTATAACTGTTTTCTCTGATGTTACAGGCAAAATCAAGCATAATGTTCAAATCTGTTGTTTAACAAATGCCAGTTTACACAAAGGCTCATAATAATGATTCTTCAATAAATGTAACAGTCACTTGAGTCAAATATTAGAGTAACTCTGACTTAAAGATACATCCTAAGAACCCTCAAATGAGGGAAAAAGAGCAGTCTTACCTCCACCTTGGACGGTTTTGGAGTAGGTTCCCGATAGATGCCCATTCATACCGACTCCATAGTCACCTTTGAAATATCGGTTCAGGAGGATTTTCCTTAATGTGCTACCCTAACAAGAAGAACAAGAAAGGTGTTGGTTCTTCTCTCTTTTTCTAATACTATATAAGTCAGTATTGAAGGGCCACTTCATATACATTTTGGGGATGATGCATGGAAAATATAACTCTATGCCAAATAATATTCTTTTTTCCTTTTTGAATCGTTGGTACACCTCTATGATAGGTAACAGTTACACTCGCCCCACACATATCCTAGTATGATTAGCTTTCCTTACCCTTCCCTCCCCCATCTTCCCTCCCCTCCCTCTCCAGGGCTTCTCTCCATTGCCACAAAGTCTACTTCCCTGTGTCCCACCATGTCTCTTTTACTTTGCTCTTTAAATTATTTATATTCTGGGTTTCTCACAGAAGAGGAACCATATGGTATTTATCCTTCTCTGTCTGAATTCTTTCACTTAGCCTTATTTCTGGAAGCAAAAAATATGTTCACAGCACACACTGTGGTGCGGGGGTGATGGGTGTGACCCTCATCACCAAATTCAACAAGTTGTATGCAGTACACATACACAGATTTGGGGGTATTAGTTCTGTCTCAGTAAAGTGGTTTTTTTAAAAATAAGTTTCCTTTTGCAGGAGATCAAGAGATGCATAGGGCCAGGGAAAGAGGATGGAAAAAGGAATTACAATATGCTATCTACACATGCCAACTTCCATCAAGGGAGGTAAATGTTATCTACTATCCACATAGACTAAGAAAGTGATCTAGGCAAAAACCACTAGACCATAAAGCAAGGACAACTTCGAAAAGAAGTGTTTCTCTCTCTCTCTGAACTAGATAAATATATATAAAAGAAAGTATTATTAATTGCATAAACTAGAAAAAAAAAAACCCAGAAACATCATAAAGGTAGGAGGTCCTAGTATTGGTAGAATAGCAATAGTGTCTAAAGAAAATATAAAATAAACCAAACCCTATGAATTGAAAAGCAAAGGCCTAGTTAGAGGATGTTAATTGAGTTGAAAAGTTGCTGGGTATACTAAAGGTCCTCAGCAAATTACTTTAACAAAACACAGCGAACTATATTCAAACTCCAAACAGCTTTGCTCACAAGACAGTGGACAAAAGACAGTATATTACTTTATAAAACACATAATTAAAAAAATTCCTAAGTCTCAACCTTGTCCCAGTTATATTTTCCCAGTAATACATTTTGCAGTGTAGTTGTTTGCATTTATGGAAGAAACACAGACGATAATGTCAAATCTCCCCCTTTATCCTTGATTAACACAATATAAAGAATGATTTGAAAGTGCAATCTGAAGAATATCTGTTTAAACTATTCAAAGCAACGCAACTCCTAGACGCTGTGCCTTCTGGCGGGTAAGGAGGCCGTGGCCTGAGAGCTTACGTGACTTGCTGCAGAGCCATCAGCTACCAGGTGGCCGAGCAAGCCCTTGCTGGACTCCTGATTGTGAAATCCAGACCACTTCCCCAGGCCTTTCCCCACCCCACCCTCCCGAGGGCCCCTCCCGAGGGCCGGGACACATGGCTTTCATCACTTCTTCCCTTCGCCTTTCTCAAATTCCGAAGGTCTCAGTTCCCCACCTCTCCTCTCCCCATCTGCAGTGTCCATCTAATCCTCCATTGCACAACTGTTTCCTCAGATCTGACCGCCAACTGTGAGTCCTGCAGCCCTGGCCTCGCTCTCCTGAGCCTCTCACTCTGTTTCCATTTACGCGTCCTTATCTCTGTCTCAATGTTCCACTGGCATCTCAAACTCAATTTTTCACAATGGAATGCTCCTTGCCTCTTAAATATGCTTTCCCTCTGTTTCAGTTTAGTTTAGTGCAATTATGATTATTCTGGTCACTTAGGCACCAAGCCTAAGGAATCATCTACTGTCCCTTACCCCATCTTGTGAAATCCTTCCTTAGCAACTGTCCCATTCAGAGTGTTTCCAGACTTTTCTATTTTAACAAAATTAAACTGTGATGACTCTCAGCCAAAATATCTAAGTCTTTCTCTGCTCACCTCATAATCTGTCTGAAGTAATCTTCTTCTATTTTACTTATGGACAGTCTTATCTCCTCCATTCTGTGAGTATTTATTGGGTACTTATGTGCTAGACATTATCCTAAAAGTACCAGATAGAGCGCATCCCTCAGAGTTTATCATGAGGTGCGGTCAGTCATAGAGTCATATGCTAAGGCCTAGAGAGGCATAGACTAGGAAGCAGTAGGCTCTGAGAGGACGCCAAGTGGCATACGCCCTAACAGACAGCGTCACGATGGATCTGTCTGGTACACGGTGTGTGGGTAACAAGTCAGTTCTAAGTGTTACAGTGCCAAGGATTTGAACAGACCCTCAGGTCCTCCACTCGCCTAACCTTATCATGACTTCTGTTTCCTGTTACTTTAACTGTTAGAATTCAGGCATTTATCTTTGCTTCTTATTTCATGTTATCTCCAAGAATATTTCAAGTAGTGCTATAGTAAGTAAAAGCGATGACAAGTCTTGGAAGAAATAATAAGGTATTGCAGCTTCATCTATCACTGGACATAAATCTACTATACCTTATAAAACCAAAAAGGAAAAACCAAAGAAAGTATGTCTTTGGCATCAAGTGGCCTTTTACTGCATATCTCATCATAGCCAAAGAGATGGCCATGAAAGAATGTTTAGATTTATAAACTATTGGACTGATGTGATAACTTAGGGACAAAGATGGGAATTCACGTGGACTGAAGCACTGACTGTCTTTGAAGGACAGTGTAGTTTGCAGAAGTAACGTTGGTTCTCACCTCCCATTGACCACTCACTCTAACCCCGCAAGGCAGATCGCAGTATCTGCCGTGGATGGAGGAGGCAAACATGAACACCCAGGCCTCCTTCCTTGAAACTGCGCATGTCTGTGTCTGTGAATGAGAGAGCCTGTCCCATGCAGGGGCCAGAGCTGCAGGACCCAGGTCTCTTTCTCTCTCCAAGTTCTTGTATGCCTGCCTCTTAATCACACTACTCTAAGCACTCAACTCAAACACCATTTTGATTTAAAAAAAAAAAAAAAAGTACATTTTCCCTTTGTTTAAAAAATATTCTTTATATTATTAGAAGCACAAACTCTTTAATAAAAAGTTATGTCACACTAAACTAAAATAATCAACATCTTTAAGAAAATTCTAAAATTCTCTTCAGGCCAATAAAATAAAAATCACAAATGTTTATCAGATTGCTAAACAGCAATGTCACATAAATAACACTCTTATTATCTGATTTCAGTCTAATGAGAATATTTTCTGAATGCACAGTATGTGGAATATCGTGAAAAAGGGAGAGGACTCCCTATATGCCTGTTCTGGACTCTGGAGCTACATTACCCGAGTTCAAGTCCCCTCTACACTATTTAATAACAGTGATGTCTTATACAAGACAATGATGACTAATACAGTGATGATGTCACTGGGGGCCTCACTTCCTCAACTGTCAAGTGCAATAACTTCAGCACCAACTCACATAGGGTCTGTGATTAGTTAAAATGGCATAGCGTACTTGGAAGTGTTTCCAACACATAGTGAGCGTTACATAAGCTGTATATAGTTAATGCTTTCTCCCTAGTATTATCCTGACATCCAGCAGCTCACAATCGTGTGATCTGCCCACATTCTCTCACTTTATACCTAACCTTCCCGAGGAAAATGAAACTTCCAACAAACCAAGAAAATGGCAAAAATAGTCATTGATAAATTGCCTGAAAACAATCAAATTTTTACACTATCAATCAGCCATTGGAATTATATATTTATGGGCTAACTTGGCAAAGCCAGCCCATAGCATGTATATATTTCACCATGTAAAATGTATGCTATGATTTCAGTGAAAGGAGAAAAAGCTCTACTTTGGCTCAAATTCCAGTTTCCAGTTAAGACTAACTGGGGCTAAAAGTAAAAGAATAATAAGGATAGATGGGAACAAAATTTTATTGTATATTAGTCATTCTCTTTAAGAATAGAAAATTCATCCTCTTAAGAATGAACCTCTTTGGGCTGGAGAGATAGCTGAGCAGTATAAGATGGTAAGTGCAAAGACCTGGGTTCCATACCCAGTAGGGCATGCCCTGCTGACCCTGCCCTGGTACCCCAAGCTGGCTAAGACTGGGTGTGGTGGCACATGCCTGGAATGCCAGCCCTGGGGAGGCTGAGACAGATCACTGCAATTCAAGCTGCAGAGTAAGATCCCGTACCAAATACATTTTTAAAAAAGATTTTTTTTTTTTAAAAAAAGGACATCTTCAATGTTGTTACAGCACAAGTTCCAAATAAGTGACTTCTGTTGCTATTTCTCAGGTTCTGACTTGAGAGATGAAAGGCAAGTCCTGTGTCACAGTTCTCCATGGGACACCGTTGGTGGCCCTCCCTCACTATCTGTGATCAGTTATCATGAATGCTTAGATGCGAGTCATTACCCCAAATTACTTTAACTCTAATAAAGTAACCACAGAGCTCTTACCAGAAATGTGGCTGTCATGGTTGTAAATAATTGTCTCAGAACATGTTAACAGAGCTTGTCAAGTCACTCTGAAAAGAATTCTACAAGTGAGCAGTTTGACTTCTGTGCGGGTCCTGTCAGTCAAAACGACATTCCCGACTGGGTCTTCCAAGGAAGATGTCTTTGGTGAATGAACCAAATAGCAAGGAATGTCCTATGCAGTCTTTTCAGTGTTAGAGTCAATTCCAGGCCACAAGACACCGCCTTTAGCCCATGTCTTCCTGAGAACACATCCCAGATGTACTCAGTGGCACGAAGCCAAGATAACTAACACCACTTGCTGAAATCACAACAGAATAGCCCCATAAAAAGACATCTTTTGTAGCCAGAGAAGCCCTGTTGACAGTTTGGGAATATCTGGGAGGACTGTGTTTTTCCTGGTCACTCCCTATTACGTGAGTCCAACGTATCAAAACTTAAGCAATTCAAATTATGGTCTTTCATGGACAGAAAGGCTAA